TTCTTCTTCTTCTTCTTCTTCTTCTTCTTCTTCTTCTTCTTCTTCTTCTTCTTCTTCTTCTTCTTCTTCTTCTTCTTCTTCTTCTTCTTCTTCTTCTTCTTCTTCTTCCTCCTCCTCCTCCTCCTTCAGTAGTTTCACTTGCTCTTAGCCAAAAGGCCAAGAAGCAATCAGCCTAGTTTCTTAACTGGCTGTCTTTCCTCTTCGGTGGCGGGGTTCTTTTTAACTATCAGAAAACTTATCACAACATGTGCATTTTTCCTCCCCAGTTGGAAATAGTCATGTATAAATGTTAACGGATGCCAATCGTTGCACTGCTGTTCAGACCTGAGCCATATCAGAAGCCCCCAAAGCTAAGCGTCCTGGTAAACAGGATTTGATGTGATGTCTTATCATCTTGCCTCAGAACTGTATCTGTGTTGGCAGAATAAGCAGGCAGCCACAGTGCCACAGGAGGTGGCAGCGGTTACAAGCATGGACGGCTTCAAGAGGGAATTAACTATTTCACAAAATATAAAGTTAACATGGTGGGAAACTTTACAATTAAGTACCAGATATAACAAAGACAGCAAAATAGGCTTCTATGGAACAAAAAATGATTTGGATAAGATTTGGTTGTCTACAAATGATAAAATGATTCAAAAGTTATACCATTTTCCGTTACACGATATTACGCCAAGATGAAGCAGTAAAAACTATGATGGTTACTTGGATGCAAGATTTAGGACGTAATATAGATTTAGAATCTTGGTCTGATAGTAAAGTTCATGAGAGCAGTACCCCATAAGGAAAATATCTATAAAATGTTTCATAGGTGGCAATGGTCACCGGATAAAATAGCCAAATGTTACCCAAATATGACAAATAATTGCTGGAAATGCAGAAACAATGTAGGAACTTTTTACCACATGTGGTGGAGGTGTGGAATAATTCAGAACTATTGGCATAAAATACGCAAAATAATAATGGATATAATGAATATCTATTTACCCTTCTCACCAGAAGTCTTTTTCTTAAATATGCTTCCTGATAGTTGTAAAAAAATGATCTGTATATAAGAACTTATATATTAACATCTGCAAGAATATTAGTTGCTAAATGCTGGAAATCACATAGAATACCTCCAAGAGAGGAACTAATACAAAGATTGTTGGAAATTGCAGAAATGGATAGGTTAAATATTACAAGGAAAAGATGAAGAATTGTACTCCAAAAGATGGACTAGAGTGTATGCATGGTTAGATAGCAAGTTTGAAAACTAGACTCAAAATACTTTTTTTTCTATGCTGTTATGTTAAAAAAAACTATAAATAAATATACCAAAAAAAAGGGAATTAGATAAACATAAGGAGCAGAGGTCCATCAGGGGCTATTAGCCACAAGGTATAGATAGGAACTCTCAGGCTGGGGCAAGGGATGCTCTGTATTCTTGGTGCTGTGGGTGGGGGCAACAGGGGGAGGGTTCCTAGACTCCTGGCCCCACTGCTGGACCTCCTGGTGGCACCTGGTTATTTTTGGCCTCTGTGTGACACAGTGCTGGACTGGATGGGCCATTGGCCTGATCCAACATTGGCTTCTCTTATGTTCTTATATGGAGCAGAGGTCCATCAGTGTCTATTAGCCGCAAGGTATAGACAGGAACTCTCAGTCTGGGGCAGGTGATGCTCTGTATTCTTGGTGCTTGGGGGGGTAACAGTGGGGGGGCTTCTAGTGTCCTGGCCCCACTGCTTGACCTCCTGATGGGACCTGGTATTTCTGGCCACTGTGTGACAGAGGGTTGGACTGATCCAACGTTGGCTGCTCTTATGTTCTTATGCTAGAATGTTTCTAGGCATTCACCAGAAGGCTTTTGGATATGGGTGCATCTGCTTTGCAGGAATATTGTGGGTGTGGACCATCCTATGTTGCCTTTTCCTCTAAGCTATGTGCAGTCTGCCCGCGTGAGCCACTCCTCAGGCCTACCCATATGAGCCCCAGAGATCTTTACGCTCTTCTAATCAGCACCTCCCAGTGATCCCCGGCCCGAGGGACGTCTGCTTAGCCTCAACCAGGTCAAGGGCTTTTTCGGCCCTGCCCGAACCTGGTGGAACGTGCTCCCAACCGAGATCAGGGCCCTGCGGGACCTATTACAGTTTCGCGGGGCCTGTAAAATAGAGCTGTTGAGGCGGCAGACGTTCAACCCTTCTGGCCTCCCCTGTTTATGGCCCTTTCCCAGCGCCCTGCTGGTTTAGATCATCTTATTGGGCACCGGAGCTTTCTAGGGTAACCTGCAGCCACCTGATATGAGGCGCGGGGTTTGTTGTTGTTGTTTTATTGTGCCCTCCGTTGTTTCGTTGGTTTTATTGGCTTATGGATTTTATGTTGTCAGCCGACCTGAGCCCACTCGCAAGATAGGGCGGGGGTATAAGTTAAATGAACACCAACAACAATTGACACAACCTGCACTGCTTCTAAACCAAAACACCTTTATTGATAAGACTGTACTGATTTTCTCTGCAGACGCTCCTGGACTACGAAGTGGAGAGTGATGAGGAGTGGGAGGAAGAAGAGCCCGGCGAGTCTCTCTCTCACAGCGAAGGGGTAAGGCTGCGGCTGGGTTGTCTCCACAGGTGGGAGGTACCCTCTGTGCCCCCCCAAGCAAAGATACTGGGACTAGGAGGTCCAGATTTGGTGCCTGACTTGCTTGCTGTAGACCGAAACCTTCGTTGGCTTTTGTTTCCTTATCGGATCAGTTTTATGATTCTTATTTTTAAATATGTCCCCCACCACAACCACCACATTTATTTATTTATTTTATTATTTAGACATTTAGGCCGCCCTGCCCCGCTAGCAGGGTTTAGGGTGGTTTACAACAGAATAAGAACACAATAATCTGAGTTAAATTAGACCAGCATTAAAACACAGTGCAGAGTCATAAGTAAAAAGAAGAGAAGATTGGATTTATACCCCACTGCTCACTCAGAGTCTCAGTGCGGCTTATAATCTCCTTTCCCTTCCCCTCCCCACAACAGACACCCCGTGAGGTAGGTGGGGCTGGGAGAGCTCTTTCGAGGGCTGCTCCTGAGAGAACAGCTCTGAGAGAACTTGTGACCCAAGGTCATGCCAGCAGCTTCATGTGGAGGAATGGGAAATCAAACCCGGTTCTCCCAGATTTAAAGTCCACCACTCTTAAGCACTACGCCAAGGTGGCAAATGATTTGAATAGAAAATTGAAACTACCCAAAGCCTCCAAGGGAGCAGGTAACGGGGGCTGGAACCCTGAGAAAACAAATCAGCCAGTATCATAACGCCCCTGTATAAATCGATGGTGCAACCTCATTTGGAGTACTGTGTACAGTTCTGGTCACCACACCATACCTCAAAAAGGATATTACACCATTGGAAACAGTGCGGTAAAGGGTTGGAACACTTTCCCTATGAAGAAAGGTTAAAATGCTTGGGGCTCTTTAGTTTGGAGAAACGACGACTGGAGGGGTCACATGATCGAGGCTTATAAGATTATGCATGGGATAGAGCAGGTAGAGAAAGAAGTACTTTTCTCTCTTTCTCACAATACAAGAACTCGTGGGCACTCCATGAAACTGCTGAGCAGTCGGGTTAGAACAGATAAAAGGAAGTCCTTCTTCACCCAAAGAGTGATTAACACATGGAATTCACTGCCACAGGAGGTGGCGGCGGCTACAAGCATGGACAGCTTCAAGAGGGAATTAGATAAGCATATGGAGCAGAGGTCCATCAGGGACTATTAGCCACAAGGTATAGATAGGAACTCTTGGTCTGGGGCAA